GAGCATACAGTGTCTGCCTATTTGCAGCCAAGATAACCCGTTAAGATACCTAGCACCTAGGGAAGGCAAGGACTAGTTAAGTTACACTTTCCTATGAGAAAAGGATAGATTCTGACCCTTTTAAAACCCTCAACCTGGATGCATTTCAAAAATTAGCATTTGAAATTGCAACCTTCTGTCCAGAGAGAAACGTGTTGCCCTGATGGGCCAAGGCAGCAGCACTGCTTCCGGGCAGCCGGGCATGCGATGACATCACAGGACTGGTCCGCTCGGGACACGCCTAGCTGGTAAGGTGTGAGGTCATCAGCTAGTCAGCTGCTAAAATATGACCCAGGAGTGCCCTGCACGTCTGTGATGGAAGAATTTGACTTAAACGAGGGGGTGGGGGGAGATCAGATCAATCCAATCAGCCCACGACCGGGTCTGGAAAATGCATGTGCAACAGGATGTTAATAGACGCTGCATTTTTAAAAAGGGTCTTACGGTCGATAAATTTGGAAAGGGTCAAAATTAAACAGATGTTTTACTACAGATCTTTTCAGAGCTTGTACTATGCTGAGGGACGCTGTAAGTCTCCAAGAGAGAGTCAAAGCATTTTCCAACTTTATTTCAAAATACAGCTCAATTTTGGCAGAGCGTTATTCTGCACGAGGGTTCCAAGCAACATTCTTTGGGAAACACTAGCTTATTTTCTTACTGTACAGAGCAGGTCTGAACGTTGCTCTACTTTTAATGAGATCCATAAAAGATACATGTGAGGACTGTTATTCCACAAAACATTCGTCCAACATGGTTCTTGCCCTCAAGAAGCGAAAAGTCTACTGGAAAAGGTGGCCTGAAATACTACATCATATTGCACATGGTGCAATAAAACAGAACACGTGAATGCTCCAAAATGAGCCCCTGATCTGCCAGTGAGAGCAAGGAACTCCTCTGCAGAGAGGCCAGCTGCCTAGAGGGACCTGGATGATGGGTTAAGAGCTAAGAGCGACCTGAGTACGGCAGAGCATTCCTATAAAACTCAAACAAGACCCTGACGTTACTGGATACCAGAACAACCCTGCCTTCCGATTGTTATTTCTGCCACTATATTTGGCTAGCATGCTTTCTGTACTCTGTACACAACCCAAAAAGTTCTGCCAGGCAGATACGCTGGCCTTCTTAGAATTCACCACCAAAATTAAACAAACAACATACAGCATTCCAGCAGAGGGAATAACGTGCAATGTATTTTTCAAGTCAGAAGATACAGAAATATGTGATATCTCAATCCAAAAGAAAAAAAACAAACTCTTCAGAACAGCCCAAAAATGTCACTGCCAACACAGGGTCACTGGACCATCATTTGTTGCCGTTACTAAAGAGGACAATTCGAACACACCCCAGTGGCATTTCCAGGCAATCAGAAGGCACCAGTGAAATCAATCTGGACACGTGGGCGTTTTCCAGGTGGCTGAAAATGCAAAGAATTCGGTGCTTCTGCAATTTTCCCTATTCATCGGGTCAGGCATTTGACACTTGAGGTGGCAAAAAATTGTTTTAATGGCAACATCCCCTTCCCTGCCTTGCCAATCACCCTGGCCGTGGCATTCCTCTGTCCACACAGGCCACAGCTGCTTAATCTCAGCCGCCCCAGGCTGCACCTGTGAGTCAGGCCGGCCTAATCACACTAACAGATGGCAGGGGCCAAGTAGCCAGCTAAGAACTGCTATCACTTTAAATAGCATCTAATGTTTCACAGGCACCAAAGACAGGCACCTCCCGACAGCAGTATCTCCCTGGTACAGCTAACACCAGCCCTTAATCACGGCAGAGCACCCATTTCGGGGGCAGAGTTGGTGTCATTCGAGAGCTAATTACAAAAAACCCTGCTTGCGGGGTGAAGGCATGGCAAGTGCACTGGGCTGGCATTCATCACACCGAGCACCCTGCTGCCCGGCCGGCCCTTCTGCAGGGGCACCAGACAGTTGGGACTAGGTCACAGTGAAAGGCCAGAGGTCCACAGCACTTGAACCACTCTATACCTTGCTGTTGCATTTTATTACTTCACGTGGCTTCGTGGTGGCCTGCGATTAGGCAGGGTACTCGACCACCAGGACAACGCCGTTCCCAGGCGCGCCAACAAAACCAAGCTGGCGGGATCCGGTGTCTGGATCCACAGTGGTGGCACTGACACGCAGGTATGGCTTTAAAGCCGCAAACAACCGTCTGCGCACGCCCACGCCACCCGCTTCGCCACCCTGGAATGCCCAGCGTGCGACAGGCCTGGGACTGAATCGCAGCTCTGCCTTCCGCTCACTGAGTCCCAATGTTCCCATCAATGAAACCAGAATAAATGCTCTTTCCACCTTATTGCATTGTTGGTGGTGCTAACTGAGCCAGCAGCCAGCACAGAGCCACCCAAAGCCAGCCCTCCGCTTCACGCCAGGAGAACCGCAGAGGAGAGCCACTCGCTCTGCCGTGTCAGTGCTTTCAGTAAGTAACATAATGACCTTCTTACCAGGCTGGTACAAACCATCACAGCAGACACGTTCACTGACCTTCTTGCCCACTGCTTTGTGAACGAGACCGCCAACAGCAAACTCCCACTCCAGGCGGATCCCCGCATGCCAATCCCTAAGCCAGGGGCTCACACTTTAGTGTGAATCAGCATCACACTAACGCAGTGGGTCTGACAAGGGGCCTGAGAATTTTCATTTTTAACAAGTTCCCAAACCATGCCTATGCCACCGGTCCAGGGACTTCACTTTGAGAACCACTGCCCTAAGCTTCCTCTTGCCAAAAAGTAAAAAATGCACAAGCCAAAATATTTTTCCGTTTTGCCCACGCTGCTCAGAGACTCAGGGACAAATCCAAATTTTCACTTACCTAACACATTTATCCCAGGTGCCTGACAATATCTGTTTTCTCTTCTTCCTTTCAAAAGCTCTGGGCTAAAAGACAGCCTTTTCAACAAACAGTGCTGCCACAACTGGTTACCCACTCACAAAAATGTGAATCTAGACACAGACCTTGTACTTTTCACAAAAATTAACTTAAAATAGATCACAGGCCTAAATGTAAAACACACAACTATAAAACTCCAGGAGATTACCCAGGAGAAAATCTAGATGACCACGTGTTTGAGGATGATTTTAGATACAATACCAAAGGTACAATCTATAAAAGAAAGACTTGATAAGCAGGACTTCACAAAAATTAAAAATTTCTGCTCAGGGAGAGACACTGTCAACAGAATGAAAAGACAAGCCATAGAATGGGAGAAAATATTTGCAAAAGACATACATGATAAAGGGCTATGATCCAAAATATACAAAGAACTCTGAAAACTCAACAGTAAGAAAACAAACAACCCAATTCAAAAATGGGCCAAAGGACTTAGCACATACCTCACCAAAGGAGATATGCAGATGACAATTAATCATATGAAAAGATGCTTCACACTGTATTTCATCAGGGAAATGCAAATTAAAACAATGACGTAACACTATATACCTATTAGAATGGCCAAAATCCAGAACGCTGTCATGAAACGCTAGCTAGGTATGGACAATAGGGACCCTCATCTGTCACTGGTAGGAATGCAAAATGGTACAGCTACTATGGATGGCAGTTTGGTGGTTTCCTACAAATCGAACACACTCTGACCATATGATCTGGAATCAGACTCCTTCATATTTACCCTAAGGAGTTGAAACCCATGTTCACACAAACACCTGCACAGACATTTGCTGCAGCATTCTTCATAACTGTCAAAACTTGGAAGCAACCAAGATGCCCTTTAGTAGGTAGATGGATAAACAAACTGTGGTACATCCAAACAATGCAATATTACTCAGCGCTAAAAACAAATGAACCATCAAGCCATGAAAAGACATGAAGGAAACATAAATGCATACTACTAAGTGAAGGACGGCAATGTGAAAAGGCTACAGTCTGAAATCCTTTTGAGAAAATGCAGCACACATCACATAAGCAAAGAACCCCAAGGCCCAACGTACAATCACTTTAGGAATATTCCAGCCGTGTCATTGGCAAATGCAGCTAATGCTACTTTTATTTTCTTTACTGAACAAACACAAGCAATCACTCTTCTGAGCACTGTATAAACAGTAACTCATTTAATCCTCATAACAACTCTATGAGATTTAATATTATTATTCTTAGTTTTTCCCATTTTACAGGTGAAGAAACTGGGCACAGGAGTTAAATGAGCAACTCGGAAGTAGAGGAGCAGGATTCGAACCCAGGCTGCCCCATTCGAGAGCCCACGCCATGTTCCTACTCACCAAAACAGTGGCCTCGTTCAGTGGCCTCTCAGGTGTCAGTGCTCGGGGTTAACTGCCTCCAGTAAGCACACCCTCGGCCCCCTCTTCCACCAAGGCCTACGAGGTGGGGCACCTCCTTTCCCTCCCCTCAGCACGACGCACACGTTTTGGAAGGCCCAGGTTTCTCAGCCCCACCATGACTGGCATTTCAGACCAGATAGTTCTCTGGGACGGGAGCCACGCTGTGCATTTTAAGATGTTTCCCGGCAGCATCCCTGACTTCTGCCCACTGGATGCCACTAGCACCCCCCGACCCCTGTTGTGACAACCAAACATTGCCCGATGTCCCCAGGGAGCAGAGAGGGGGGCAGTCACGCCCAGGCTGGAGCCAAGCGCGGATCAGCGGTTACAAAGAAAACCAAGGTGTTACGCGAGTCTGCTATTTTTACATCTCAGAACAGCGAGAAGCCAAAGGGAAAAGGAAAACCAAGGAAAGCGGTAACTGCTCTGAAGAGCCAGCGGCCACTGTCACGAGAAGAAAAGGGACAAACGGTAGAGAAGGTGTACAGACACAATGGTTTATTTGAGGGTTGAAAGTCAGGAGAACAGACACAGCGGGAAAGGCAAGGGCCGCGGAGACAGCGCCGCGCTGGAGAGTCGACAGGACAGGTGACAGGCAGGACTCCCTCCACGCTCCTCTGCAGGGACCGTCGGAGCCGGGCGGTTACTTACTCTTGCTGTTACTGTTCTCACTGACAAAATCCTCAGGGCCGTCTGTGTCGTCCTCGTCATCTCCGGATGAGATGGCATCTGCATTCAAAAGAACATATGCATGGATGTGTTTTCGCAAAGCAAAAGGGTGCAATCATCTGCATACAGCTTAGACCTCCTCTGTAGCGAACTCAACCACCCAGGAACCTACAGGAAAAGCCTGGGACCGTGTTTGGTTAAGACAGTTTTAATGGCTTGTATTTTCTCTCCATGATGACAGTCGGTCAAGGTTGTGATTCTCAATGTTTTCTGCTTCTACATTACTTAAACATGCCATAAAATTGGATATACTGGAACTGGGCTTTAAAGCTTCAAATAGTGTGCAAGTCTCTGACAAATGTACCAACTGTAATATCCAAAGACTTTTTTTTCCAACATAACCTTTCAGGATTCAGGGTCCCCTTCAAGAAAGGAATTCAGTCCCTAACAAAACTTAGCCCCCGTGTGGCCTTTCTGATTGTCAACTCACACTCTGAAAGTGGGACTTTAACTCAGCCACAAAGAAGGCCTGTCCAGTCCCACTCACTGCATGGAAGGAAAATCAAGGAGAGAAACTCAAATTTAAATAAAGGAATCGGAAATCTTTAGCATTCAAATTTCGACCCTGTGTTTCAAATGCCAAGGGTGTTAGCAGTATGGAGGGGGGAAAAAGGTATGTTTTTCCTTATATAAAAGCTGTCTTAAAAAGAAAAACGTTGCTTTGTGTACTAGAATTCTGTCATTCTTAATGACCAGCCTCTCTGGTGCACCAGGTCCCATGGAAAAAAAATCTCAGAAACAGATCAGTAACCCATGGTGAAGCTGTGTGCCTAGCAGCCAATTAGCAGGAATCGCTATGATTTCACTTGGCCGAAAAAATTCTACACAGAGAACGGCTACAGAGAAGAGAGGGCATAGAGCTCGCAGGCCAACTCACCTGTGACATTCACCATGAAGTACCAAGTGTCACTGTCTACAGTCCTAGCGGCAGTGCAAGCATAGAGGCCGGAGTCTCTAGGCGTGGCGCCTTTTATCTGCAAGTATTCCCCAATAAGCACTGTCCTATTGTTGGGCCCCACGTGTACCCCATCCTTAGTCCAACTGATCATGGTGGCATCTTTCAACAGGCAGCGCAACTCTAGCGACTCCCCTGGCGCGGCCACGTACACTTCCGGTTGAGAAATTTGGTATTTGGTTGGTGGCTCTGCAGAAAGGTGGGGGAGAAGGCGGAGACAGATGGGAAGGAGGGAAAGGAGAGAACGTCCAACAAAGGTCAGTGGAGGCCTGTTGATTCCCAGGAAGAGCTGTCCGTGCTTTGCACGTGGCCCCGCAGGCGCCCGTCGCTCCCTGGAAGCCGGGAAGCCGGGAAGCAGCCCCCACTCGTGGACCAGACCGGGCACCTGACACAGCAGCCAGAAGCAGCACCCAGCAAAGCTGTCCTGCCTTGGCTTCCAGGTACATGCAGGGCTCGGAAAACAAACCGAACCCCAGCGTGGAAGGATATTTCGCAAGAAAACGTTTCGCAGTCAACTGCCGGTCCAAAGCCTGCTTGCACCGTGACACCTGGAAAAGTCTATCACTGTGGCACATGTTATTTGTAAGAACACTGGGTTTTACAAACGTGTGCATTCAACGTGACTACATGTAACACACACACACACACACACGCAAGCACATGCACGGGCACACGCGCACACACACACACACACACACACACACACACACACGCTCTTAATTATCTATTTACTTGTGCGAGACTCGGCCTGTCCTCGCAAAGCCAAGCTCCTTCGATCGAAACATCGCAAACTCAAGAGAACCTGATGGATCCCGGCACAAAATGGTTTGCTGCCTGGAATTTTCGTGAGCTCTCAAGTTCAGATCAGTGCTTAGCAGGAATCAAGACTTAATTCTGTGCTGGGTGAGCTGGGACATGCTGTTTTTTTTCTCAAAACGGTAAAAGCTGGAGGCCTCAATACCTAACACAAAAAGAACAAAATGCCCGGACAGCTGAGAGGAGGTCTCCCTCCTGCGTGGCCCTCACCCCACCTTACAAAGCGGGATCCCACCCTGCCCACCACCCCCGCCACACGCACCCGGGCTCTGCAGCCCCCCAGCCTGTCTCTTCCGCAGGGACACTCCTTCCTCCCTCTCGTCCCTGCTCAACCCCACCTATCCTTCAAGGCCCAAATCGAGCCATGCCCTCTGTGACAAGGAACAGGCCTACCAGTCGCCCTGCCCAGAAGTGATCTCTGTCCCTCCACCGTACGTCTGCCCACGTGGGATGTGCCACATTTCTTACAACGCCCCATCTCCTGAGCAGACACCAGCAGGCGTCCTCAAACTACAGCCCTCGGGCCACATGCAGGTGTTTTTGCCCATTTGTTTTTTTACTTCAAAATAAGATACGTGCAGTGTGCATAGGAATTTGTTCATACTTTGTTTTTAAACTATAGTCCGGCCCTCCAATGGTCTGAGGGACAGTGACCCGGCCCCCTGTTTAAAAAGTTTGAGGACCCTTGTCCTTGAGGGAAGGCTCGGGTCTCAGGGTGCTTTGTGTTCCCCACCCCGGCCCACCTGGGCCACCCTCGGCATACACAGGGAAGGTGGCCATGCTGAACGGGACCATAGTCCCCAAACATGCAGGGCAGGATGAGACTCTAGAGCAGGGGTCCTCAAACTTTTTAAACATGGGGCCAGTTCACTGTCCCTCAGACCGTTGGAGGGCGGTTGGAGAGTGCGGCGCACATTCCACACATGCGCACTGCGGGCCCGGGACAAGTCAGCTGCTGAGCAGGACAGGCAGCAGCAGCAAAAACACCTGGGGGGGGGGCGGATAAATGTCCCCGGCGGGCCGTATGTGGCCCTCGGGCCATAGTTTGAGGACCCTTGCTCTAGAGGATCCAACCCAGAAAAGGAAAGTGCTGGCCTCTCAGAGCAGCCAGAGCTGCTGGCTGGGGTAGCCTCCAGGGTCCGTGAAGCGGATTTCATCCCTACAGCAAGGACTGCGAATGGTGCCCGGAAACACACGGCTTCCCAGCACCGGGCAGCATCCCTGGGCAGCTGCCTGCCCGGACCCCACGCAAAAGGACGGTCTCCCACACGAGACGGAAATAAAGTCAATTCAAGTTTTGGTCCCACTGTTAAAGGGGCAGTGAGGGGCAGGAGCATCCAGTCCAAGAATGCCCCCCCCACCACCATCCACAGCCCACGGGGAGGCCCGGGCCTTCCTGAAGGGGCAGCACCAACGCCAGACAAGCCGAGAGAGGCCCAGGCGCTAGCAGTGCATGCACCTAAAGACATAACCACGACAAAAGGAAGAAAACAGAAGTTAAACCGAACATGGACAAACACACCCCCAACACAAGGGAAACCCCCGAACAGCCTGCCAGCTGACCGGCGGGTTTATGTTCCAGAAGTCGGTTTTTCTCAGTCGACAGTTATTTATCGAACACCTACTATGGACCAGGCTTTGTTCTGGCTGCTCAGGGAGCAAGAGGAGACAGGACAAAGCCCCTGCACTGTGGAGCTTCCAGTATGGTGGGGGTGACAGACAATAAAAAAAATCTACAAAAAATATAAAGTACATGAGGGGGGTCTCAAGTGTTCGGAAGAAGAATGTCACGTGTTAGCAAGATAAAGGAGGTGCAGAAGTAGTAGGTGAGGGCTCGTTCCATAGCAGGGGTGGCAAACGATGGCCCCTGGGCAAACCAGCCCTACTGGAACTCGGCCACGCTCATTCCTTAGTGCCCGTCTGGGCCGCTGCTGTGTTACCAGGGCAGAGTTGAGCAGTTGCGACACACACCCTATGGCCCGCAAAGCCTAAAATATTTACAGTCTGGCCTTTATAGAAAGTTTTTCAGCTCCTGTTGCATGAGATGATCAGAGAGGCTTCTCCAAAGAGCAGCCGTCTGAGCACAGACGTAAAGGGCAAAGCGAAATTTAAAAGACGTTGTCGGGAACTTAGCCAGAAGGTTCTCAGATAAGCTCTCCCAAGGCTGGTTGAGTCGTGTCGTGGCTGAATTGAGCGACTCAGGGAAATACGTCAAACACTGAACACTGAATAGGAAAAAGGACAGGAAGAGAAAGAGAGAAGGGGACGGTTCGGTTTGGCCCCCAAACTCAGAACATCTCCCATTCCCAGGGTCCGACAGTCACCGATTCGTTCAACAACCTGGCCCAATCCCTTTCGCAGCTGACTGAAGCAAGGTTCGGATGTCATTGGGGTCCCATGTCCCCAACAACTAATTACTGAAACAGCACCCACAGTGTTGGAATGAATTTACGTGGGATTGACTGGCGTCATAAAATAATCAATATTCATTATGACCGCGCTGCATGACCAGCAAGTCATCAAGAATGCTGTGAAATTCCCCTTGCTCTGAGTCAGAACTGGTCAAGGATTCCGGAGTAGGGGACAGAAGCAGCAAAGCTCCCCTCCCTTAAAGGGGAGGCAACTGGGGCCCCGCTGTCCTGCCCCGCAGACAAGGTGCAGTCCTGTCCCCATGCTGTGTGGTGGAATGCTCTGACACTGCATTAGGACAGGAAAAGAAAGATAAGCAAGGCATTTACAATTGTGATGCAGAAAAATCTCTCTCGGGACAAAACTAGAGTAATGACTTATGATTTCTCCATGTTTAAAGGAAAGTGTTTGCACTAAGAATCTTTTCCTTTGCCTTAAATCAGCAAACCGCAAAGTCCTGCTGCAACCAGGGATGTCTGAGCTGCTAGACCAATGTCGCCAAAAGGACATCACCACGTGCTGTTCTGGAAGGAAGAACACGGGACTGTGGGGACCTATGTCCTCAGGACGCGGGAGATGCTTGGCAAAGGCCGCTGAGCCTGAGCCCCCGCCCCTCTCCGTCCTGCTTAACCTCTCGGCCTCGGGTTCCCCAACTACTGAAGAGCAAGAATACCCACACGCCAGGCCACGGAGCCAAAGACAGCAAACCTGATCTTCGACAACCGTCACGACCACGTTCTTCAAAGCTGAAAACGCCACAATCTTGAGCACCATGATTTGCAGAGCATAATCCAAGAACACTTGGATTTGTATCTCTAAATACAAAAAGATACTACTGATGGGCTCCCATCTCAACAGACAGGATGATGATGCACAAAAAATGTTTTTTTTATTTCCGGTACAACCAGATCAAAACTGTCATCCAGTTTTCCGAGCTTCAGGGAGAGTAATAATCTCCCCCAAATACATTAATAAGGTAAAGACATTTACCCATAAAAGCAAGCCCTCCCGACTTCACAGTCTCGATCCAGTAACGGCTGCCTTGGGAAACTCTGAAGGCAGGGACTCCTCCCTGCCTCCCCTGAGTGGTCATTTCACAGAAGCCCCACGTTGGGGTTCAGCAGCGCCGTTAGCAAACAAGCCAGCAATGTTCCCAGGTATCCTGGGATGACTGCAAGCACATGGCAGGGAGAGGGGAGAATGGGTGGATACACACGGAAGAAAGGGAGGAAGAGACTGGGGAGAAACAGTAAGAAAAGAAGGACATAAAATAAAAGAGGCAGGGAAAGTGTGGGGCCACAGCAAGGGAGGGCCCAAGGACAACCCAGTCGCCTCCCCGCCACCCCGCCCTCCGAGCATGCAGGTCCCTGCACATGGGCACACATCAAAGGCATCTCAGCAGGCCACCTGCTGTCTAGGGGCTCTGGATGCTCTTCACCTTCTTGTCTGAATGTTCCAGGTGACGTCACCGCCCACTCCCTGCAGATTCGGGCTCCCCAAGCCCTCACCGTCCCTGACACCAGCGATGCCTCTCCTGCCCTGCCCCGATGCGCCTCCCCAACGCCGATCACTCTCCACAGCCGGGGCCACCCCCGACTCCACATGCCTGCTCCGTGAGCCAGGACCTCTGACACGGGGCAAAAATCCCCTGGAAATGTACACGATACCTTTCATAGTAACATTAACGTCCCCTGGGTTTACTGTTTTCTGGTGCTGCGGCACACTTTTCACCTTTCCCGTGCGAATCTGCGTGGCACGCACAGCCCAACATTTCCCTGCTCTCCTGCCAAGACAGGGCGGGGAGAAGTTTCCAGAAGCTGCTTTGCTACACACCAAATGCTCTTTCAGAGGCTTCCACAGATAGAAAATATGTTTCCACATATTTTTCATACACTAAATTAAAATTCAAAAAAGAAGCAAGCAAGCTGGAACACACACACACACGCTAGTGTGGGACATCGTCA